TCCGTACGGGGACTCTCCCCTTCCCAGAAGCCAGCCTGGTAACACAGCCCCGCCACGGAGCGCCAGGCTGGCCTGCCAGCAAACACACTCCCACCCGCCGGCATGCCTGAAACCACCAGTCCCCGCAGGCTGAGGCACTTTGCTTGGAGACAGGGGATACTTTGGGGTGACTTGAGCCTGATTCGTTTATAAATATAGAATTTCCCTCCAGAGCTTGCAGCTTGGCATCTTTTGCAAGACCTAAATATACTCCTAAAAGGCGTGAACTGTTTCCATAATAAAGCCTTTTAGAACTCACTTGTGAAAATTAATTTAAAGCCATACTTTGGCAGAGCAAGTGAAAGTGCTTAATGCATTGGTATGAGCTTGTTCACCGTACGGCCATTCGATATCTAGAGTGAGAAGTACCAAGAAGCAGTCAGTAGAGCTGGGCCAGCTAACACTTACCTTCTACTGTTGTCACCTTACCTTGGTCCATCAAAGAACTTGTTTCCAGTAGCTTCCACAGTTTTTAATGCCTGGGTTGGAATTTTCTGCATCACATTTCTGCACAAGGCCCAACTTCTACAGAAAATTTCATCCAAGAGAGTTTTTCTGCTTTGGAGAATAAAGTTCCGCCATATGTAAAACTTAACTTTATATAACTTTTTCTCAGAGTATTAAAAATTGCCGGCAGGTAACTTTCTGGTGTTCTCAGAATCACCTGCAAAAAAATTGATCACATCGTAAGGTTTTAGGAGTTCACATTGAGGAAATTCAGGAAAGGTTTCTTAAGCTCAGTAGCAGCATTCCCTCAGATCCCACCCGTTACAGGCATGTTCAGCTCAAGACTCAACAAGATTTTCACTGTAACTCCTGTGTTTCAGTTTGGGCCCGTTGCCCCTGTCCTGTCACTGGGCACAACTGAGAAGAGGCTGGCTCTGAGCTCCAGGCTGAACAATCCCGACCCTCTCAGCCTCTCCCTCGTACGGCAGATGCTCCAAGCAAGAAAGTGCAATTGCAACAACTCTCTCCCCAACTTTCAGTATCTATCAACTATCAGTATTGTACGGTCTGAAGTAATTTGACCATCAAAAGAGGTCCACAGAGTCTATCTTTCACTGAATGCATCCATTTGAACTACTCTAGCTCCACTGTTAGCAAAATGGCTATTTTCAACTGAGGGACTAGGAAAGATTATTAAAAAAAATGTAGAGGAAACATTGCATTGTAATTCCATAGAAATGGCATTGTGTTTTTTCCACCTTTATCTGGTAATTACCAAGGGACATGAGACCTCTTTGTTGAACAGCAAAGTGACATCTTTCATAGCTTGCAAATGCATTCTGTGATCTGAAAACCCAACCAACATGCACATGAACATTAGTAATGAGTATCCTGCTAGCCAAAATACTGCCTTAGTGACACCTGGGCAGATCCTCTGACTTAAGAGGTGTCCTGAGCAACACTTCACAAACATGCTGATGTTAAATCTCCAGAATCACTTGTGCAAATCCATGGGAAGTGTGGTTACACAATGAAAAATAAGGTTGCAAATAAGGTTATCAGCTTGCTCAGCATGCCTAGTCACTTGAACACACTGATATGCTCGGAGAGTTTAATATATTAACTTTTGTTGGTTATACTTGAATACTCTTCACAGTAACGTAACTAAGGGGCAATGAAGTGAATCCCATTCCTTCTTGTGCATTGCCACCACTATAAAATACCTCTCATGTAGCTGCAAATCTACTGATAACTAAACAGAACTAAACTCTGCTGGAGATATTCCATATAGCCCAGAGAATGCAGCTCAACATTGCCAGCACTCGAGCACTGGCAGCTAGAGCCACTTGTTCACCAGAAGACTTTCAGTTGTGAGTACTAGCAGTGAGAACCTGCGATAAGTGAGCAGATGCCACTTTTACCTTACGACTTTTCAGGGTAGAAGCGCATTCTAAGCACCATCTTTCAGTGGCACCATCTGAGAATTTTGACAGCGTGGTGTAGGGAGATGTGCAGAGAGATGTATCTCTCAAAATCTCTCAAAGCCCTCCTCGGCATTACATCCAATAACTTCCATTTCCTCCATGAGACTCAACCAGCCCTATAACTGCTTAGGGCCAAGTACGCCCCATTTCAGTTTGAAAATACCTCTTTGCAAAATGCCTCTTTCACAAACAGACAAACTACCAGGAGTAAATTGACGTAGAAGGATGCTTTATGGAAAAAATAGATGCCTGAAGTTGCCAGCAAGATCCTAAAAGTGAACATTCTCTAGGGACAACATTAAAGCAAACCCAACTGAATATGAGAAATCAGAGAGTAACATACAGAATTTCTTATGGAGAGAATACAGAGTCTGACATTTCCACCCACACAGAGCAGCTCAGTGACTGGCAGTAAGACAAAACAGCAATATGAGCAACAGGAGAACCCAGAGGAATAAACAATATATTTCTTCTGTCAACAAAAATATATGCCTCTCTTTATTCTTTTAATAATACTCCCACAATATATTCTTTTCTATTTCCAGTTAAAAAAATCAGAGCAGTATTACTATTTTCATTATCAGTTTACACTGAAGATTACCGGCTGTCTTTAAGAGGCATAATATTTGTAATAGGGCTTGGGTATAACACTGCACTGTACTGCAAATGCTGCAACTTGTAAACAAAATGTCAGTCACAGAATAGTTCAACCTCTACTCACTTCAAGCCCGAACATATAAATCAACTTCTCTTCAATGTTAATCAATATTACTTACTTGCTCCTTGATCTATGAAATTCTTCTGCTCATCTCTCTTCATAAAATATATATCCTGCACATCGTGCATTTTTCCTTGTAGTGTTCTTGCTTGTTATTATCAGTAACGTTATTTTTATCTGCTTTTCATATATTGAAAAACTGGGATCAGGCTTTCAATGAAACTATTTGAAAACATGTGGACAGGCACTAGCAATTACTAAGGAGAGAAACAACAAAACTTGAAGGCACAAAGTGAGTAGAAAGTCTCAGGGGGTCAGACCACTCACAGTAGTCCAAGTAGGGCAATCCTAGGAGGAATATCAGGCCCCTCAGACTCTTCTACTGAAAGATCAGGTTTGTTACTCAAACATTCACGTTAATGCCTTTCAAAATCAGTCTGATACAACAATGAAAGCCAGTACTGAAGCTCAGGAGGCAGTTTATGCCAAACCCAGCCCTGATCTGAGTCCTGTGACTTAACAAATATACACAGTCCCAATTCAGATCTGTGTTTTCCTGGAGACCACACCAGGATGTGGATGGGAAGTAACATTTAGACAGAGCACATCAACATGGGAAGGAATCTTACCACAACCTCAACCTAAACACAAAATATGGGACTATTACCACTAAAACCCTTGCCCAAGTGAACTGCAGACCCGTAGAGGTTATAAAAGGGCAAGTTTTTGTTCCCTGCTTATGCTCCAAACTGCTCCTCACTGCTCATCCTCCTCCTCCATTGATTTGCTCAGTCTAGGATGACAGAATCAGGCAAGGAGGGCATTTCTGGTGTTTTCCTTGGGAGATCACTCCACAAATTGGCTTCACATTCAAGAAATTTTACTCTATATGTAGTTAAAGGAATTTAAAATACCAAGGGATGTAAAAAGAGATCAGGCTTAAGTTGGGGTTAACTACTTGTAGTCATTGCTGTGGGGGAGCTCATCCATTACACAGAATTACATCGGCACCGATGATTTCCTGCCACACACACATTAGGAACAAGAAAATAAGCATACAGCAAAACAGAGAGGGGAAAAAAAGCCATGTTAATTCATTATTCATTTCAAAATACAAGTGATTACAAAGATTCCGGAAGACAGGGAGCACTTGTCAGTGACTTAGTGAACCTTCCTGCACAGCTCTTT